TGCCGGCTGGGCTTAAACCACGACATCACTGTATGGAAGATGTTTTTCCTGAGACCAGACTCCAGCTGATCACTGGATGTTCCCTGCCTCCTTTCACTCCACTGCATAGATCCTTCCTTTACTCCATGGACTAGACTCACAAGTGTATTCAAGAGCTCAGTGGAACTGAAATACCTCTTACTATTTGGCCTGTGTCTGCTAGGCAAGAGAGAGGCACAGACACAGCACTCCTGCTGCTGCTAAGCACTGCCCTGAAACCTTTACGGGCAGTCTTCATGGTCAACATGGTAGCTGGTCAACATGGTAGCTGTCCAAACAGCACTCTCCAGGGACTGTATTTCCTGCACAACTTCCCAGTGACTGAAAAGTTGGAAATACTAACATGGACAGAAAATCACTTCGTGGGCCTGGACTTTCCCTGGCAGCAGAGGCTGCTAGAAAACGTCTGGAAAATACTAAAACAGACCCTACCTCAGGGTTAGGATTTTAAAAAGGGGAAGTGTGGCTAGACCTTATCTTCTCAGCCCCATTACCTCTGACTTCAGGCATTCTCATCAATAATGTTTCTGTGAGACAGGTGGAATCACAGACAAAACTCAGTTCTATCATGGGTGGCACATAACATTTCTAAGAGCTATCTAACACACTCAGATACAAAGCGACATGCTATACAAGGCCATGTAAAGCTGTTGCATAGATAGTGGGGTTTATGTTCAGCTTCTACATGAATTCCACATCACATTTATTTCTAATGAGAATAAAGTCTAAGAACATTTCACACCTTTGGAGAGCTGTTAGAACTGTGCTCCCACACATTGCTTGAGCACTGTTGTGAGTTCTTTACTACTTTACCACTTCTACTACTTTTTAAATTGCCCTTTACTTTTTTAACTCCCCCTTTCTCTCTTCCCCCATTTCCCTAGGTACAAGTAAATCTCAGGTAAAGCACACATTACAAAACCAAAACTGTTGTTTCTCCCTTTGGCATGTCATTTTTCTTTCTTGATAAGTTTCCAAGTCTTTCTGCAGCTTTTCCAGGGTGACCTCTGCCAGACACATCAGATTTATTGCCTTAATTATACCTCCACTGTCTTCTACTTGGAAAACCTGAGACAGAAAGAAGATTTTGGTACATGTCCGGCACATCAGCTTGGTTTAGATGTTGGGTGGGAACACAGTATGTAGGGTATTATGCTCCTTAGCAGATGACAGGGCTCACATTCCTTGAGTACAAAACAGCCCCCAGCATCTACACTATGCCACAGTGACTGGAGAAGCTTATAATGGCTTCCTTCTACTTAAGGAAAGGGCTATATGATAAAAGTCTATGTAAGGGGAATAGAAATCCAGAAGCATGTCAGTGCTTTCCTGGGGCCTGTGGTGAGAGGGAAGGGTGCATTTTGGCTGAGCGAGCCCTGGCAAGAAAGAGGGGCTGTTTCCTCACTTATGGGTATTTGCTGTTCCATATGCCCTCACGGAAAGAATATCCTGGATAGAACAGAAAGCAACCTTCTGCTATGGCAGGGATAAAGTTAACTATCTTCCCAGTAGATTGTATGGTGCTGTGTTTTGGATTTAGGATGAGAATAATCATAACACACTGATGTTTTAGTTGTTGCTAAGAAGTGTTTGCACTAAGCCAAAGACTTTTCAGGTTCTCACCCCACCCCACCAGCGAGCAAGCTGGGGGTGCACAAGGTGTTGGGAGGAGACACAGCTGGGGCAACTGACTCCAACTGACCGAGAGATATTCCATATCATACGGCCTCCTGGACAGCAGAGACAACTGGGGGTAAAGCTGGCTGGGGGCCACTGCATGGGAATTGGCTGGGCATCAGTCAGTAGGTGCTGAGCAATTGCATTGTGCATCCCTTGTTTTGTATATTCTATTAGTTTTACTTTCCCTTCCATTTCTATCCTATTAAACTGTCTTTAGGTCAACCCATGAATTTTATTTTTTCCCCCCCAGTTTTCTCCCCCATTCTCCTGGGGGAGAGAGTGAGCAGCTGCACGGTGCTTAGCTACCTTGCAGGTTAAACCACAAGAGTTTTACACTTCCCTTGCTCTCACTGTGTGAACAGTTCATCTTTAATTAGTGCCTGTCTCATTACAGTCAGCTGATGATGCAGAAAACTGTTTCCTACCTCCCTGCCAGGGACCAAGCTGAGCTGTAAGAGAGGTTTTCTTTGTCTTCAGCAGTGGTGTGAACAAAACAAACAGTGCAAGAGGCTGCATCTAACAGAGCTGCTAGTTGCTCCTTTGCATCGACTGATGCGGTGTGTCCTCCTCAACAACATCTGGAAGAGAAGCACTGATGAAACAGAGAAAGGTTTTATCCAGTCACTTAAAAAGAGGGTGAAGTCCATACATAAGTAGCTAAGGTTAAAAGTCAAGTGTGTGATTAACAATTTGAAAGTTATGTGGCCATTTGTGCATGAGTGTGAATTGGTCTGGTCTCCCTGCAGAGATGCAATGAGGATGTGCATGCCTTTCTACAGTCCCGAACCCTTCCTCATTCTGTAGGAAATGCTTGATGCCACCCTTGGGCTGTCAAAGCCTCTCTGAGCAAGATCACAGGACTCCCAAATCAGTGAGTCGCTTGTACTTGCTCAGAATCATCTGCAGTGACATGCAAACCATTAAGCGGAGATCACAAATAGGAACAAATAAAGTTAGTTCTCAAACAAAGAATCCTTTGAGTTGGATTTATGTCTAAGAAAGATTTGTTGGGGCTAATCCTTAAGTGGATAAAATTGTACTCACAAGGGGAATATTATGTCAATGACCTTTCAATAAATGACAGGGTCCTACCATGTAAAGTAGCTGAAGTGCTATCTCAGCTATGGATTTTATCTAGCTATTGTGGAAAAACAAGCGGTCGGTCCAGGAATGTTTTTGTTAACTCTATATAATTGATTAATTCAATCTTGTTCAGAAAGCTATAAATGCATCTCTAAGTGCCTTATGGTCACATAGTAGTACACCAGCAGACACGTTTATTCCCCAAAGGCCTCATACAGCCCCCACTGATATCAAAGACAAGATAGATAGTGCATCAGCAAGACACTTATCCTGCCAGTCTTGGCAGGGAGAGGTGCCAGGCAGTGCTTCATCCTCATCAGCAGTACACCAGGGCCTTGAGCTACCCAGCATGGTGATAAGTTCTCTGCCATCATCCTTCTCGTCATCCTGGAGGTTCAAACATCTCCTTTGGAGATGAGGCAGAGTTAATGTCTGCTAGAGACAGATAAAGCTGGGGCTCCTTCTTAGGTAAATACTCTAGTGACAGAATTACCACCTAAAAGAAAGGCTTGGGTTCTTTCTCTTCTTGCTGAGTCCTGTGAGGAATCTAGCCTAATGACCACACAAGGAGCACAGGTTTTGGCAAAAAATGGGTCCCACAGGAAAATAAGATTGTTTTGTCACTAGTCTGGAGACTTCTGCTGGGCAGAAGGTCCTTCCAGAGCTTAGATACCTCTGGGCTAAGGAAATCAAGTATACAGGGGTGACCCCTCTTTAATCACAACACCTAACAAAGATCTGCCTTCATTTTTTTGATCAGTAAATCAGTGGCATAAGGAACAGCTGCAGTCCCAGAATTCCCCTTCTGGTGTTTATGTGTGTGTGTGCCTGAAAACTTTATCTGCAACATCACTCGACTCAAAAACTTGGAATTCAAGTTGCAGGTCCAGGAAGGTTTTCCCCATAACAGCCCTCAATCAGCAAAGACTTAGCCCCCATTTTTTACCTTCTGAAGCATCCCAATCCTACTCTTCAGCCAATTCTGGCACAACCTCCCTCAAAATTAATTCTCAGTAATTTCCACGGCCTTTTTATCAGGCTGTATATAAGGAAAAATGTTTTTCTCTCACTAGCCCGGACACTTCAGGAAGGCAGTATTTTTTAAAGAACTTTTAAAGATTACAGTTTGAGTTTTATACAATCCCCCCCGTTTCCCAGTCAGATTAGTAAACACAACCTTTTCATTTAGCACTGAATTCAAGCATGTTTGAATGCATGATTAGAAATTCTGGTTCTACTGACCTAAGAAGAGCTTAGGCATTTTTTACAGTGAGGCCAAGAGTTCATCTGGGGCTTAACATGTGAAGAGCTTTGGCTTCTACTGGGGAAAAATCAGTGTTCAACATCTTCCAGAAACAGGACTGGTTTTGCCAGCCTTGGCAGTAACTGATGTTTCACGTACTTCAGGGGATCTGGAAGGTAAAGTCAAGTGATTGGACAACTTTCAGAAGTTCAGGCAGCTGCAAGAGGTCATAATTTGTCCTCAGGTCTGGCATGGTGACAAGAGATTCTTTGTCCCAGAGGTAAGCAGTTTTCTAAAGGGCATTTTTCCTCGAGGAACTTGTAGTTTCCTATCTATCTTTACAGTGTGGTCTAAAGTTGGCTGGTTGTCTATATTTTAGTTATGGGAGATGGCTTTGCTCTAACAGGAGCAGCTGCAGCCTAAGCACTGCAAACACTGTAGCTGAACACGCAGGCTGTGCACAGTGCCTTGGGTGGTGGCATGGGCTGCTCTTAGGTAGCATCCAAGATCCTATGATCCAGGAGGACTCTCCAGAGTTTGCTTTTAGAGGGCAGAATGAAATGGGATGGATATAAGTATTACTATCTTTTTATAAGGATATGAAGTAGAAATTAATTGCCTCTTTCTCTCCTCAAGCTGAGCCAAAGACATTTCTGTTTACATTTAAATGGCATTACAAAAAATTATACAGCATACCTAGGAACATGTGCATCTTTCTGCTGTGGTTAGCCTCTTAGCCATACATACAGAGTTCAAGCAGCATTATGGTAACATCACCAAGCAGGTCTCGCCTCAAGGGCTGTGTCTGTTCACATGCAGGGCTGTGAAAACCATTAAAACCACTCCAGAAAAGAAAAACCCAGCTTAACATTTCAAAAGCTTAAACACATTTAAGCAATATCACTGTTGAAGAAACACAGCCATGCTCAGTTATTAACTGTGTGATGCATTTAGCCTGAGATAAGAGCACACATATGCTCAATTTAACTGCTGGCTGCAGTGCAGTTCTCCATCAGATATGCAAGATTGCCCATTCTTTCTCTCTCTCCTTTCTGGATCAAGTGTTTGAAGCAAAGCCTAAGGGAAAACAGCGGTGAAAACATTTTGTCTTCAACGAACAGACTTCTCCTTCATGAAGGGAGGCTAACACTAGCAAGTAATGTCCCTAAATGTCCTAGTATCAGGCGTCAGCTGAACAGAGTCGTATTTTGCTATGCCAGGTCCAGAATGAATCTCTGCAACAGTATTTGGACAGGTGTGGGAAAGTAAAAGCAAATGTACAGCTTGTCAGAGAGAGACTGAGAAACAGGAAAACTGCCAAAAGGATGAGTAATCCACATGGTTGTTTACTGTCACATCTGGACGTTCAGTCTGCCAGGTGCTGGAG